CCTTGTGTTTTTTTAGCAAGCTTGTCAGCCCAGTAGTACCCGTCAAACCGAAAAGTTCAATGCTTAAATCCTCTCTTTGGGTAATGCGTCCCTGAAACTATTGATGCCCATTTTTCCCCTGTCAATCCTTTCAGGAGTTTTGTTTATTAGGTCAATATGTTTATTGAATGTCAAGCAGTATAATATTAGAAACATTTGAGTAAAACATAAAGGTGATTCAAATATATATATATATATATATATATATATATATATATATATATGCAGGTTTTGGTGTCCTCGGGTGTCTTCCCGTGTAAAAGTTGGGGTGTCTAGGCGACGTTTCGACGAGGTCTCACTCGTCATCTTCAGGCTGGTGCTTTCGGCTTCTTGTTACTGGAACAGAGCAGGATCTCAGTGTTTGAGTTCCTATAAATACTGTAGAGGGGGTGTGGTGTATAGCCTCCAATGTTCTGGGCAGAGAGGAAGTTCCCAGGCTAGTGTGCCTTTTCTTCTTTTGTTCCTTAATTACTTGAGGGATATCTTGAGTGATTTCTTGAGTGATATTCTGAGTACCACTTAGGTGGGTCATTAGGTGTGGATTAGTTGCTAAAGCCTTCGTGTCTTGACCTCTTGAACTTTGTGAAGAGTTTTTCTGAGAAGATGGTTGTACTGCACTTAGTTGTGCTCTGGCTTGGCTTCGTGTATAGGGGCGAGCTGTGGTTTTGTGCCCTGTGCCAGCCAGATCTGTGTAGGGATTGCAGGGGGGTGCAGCATCCGGAGGTGCCACCATGGTTTGGCTACTGGATGGTGTCTGTAATTTATCTGTGGAGAGGGTCTGGGTTTGGGTCTGGTGTGGTTGATCAACCACACCAGACCCAAACCCAATCAACCACACCAGACCCAAACCCAGACCCTCTCCACAGATAAATTACAGACACCATCCAGTAGCCAAACCATGGTGGCACCTCCGGATGCTGCACCCCCCTGCAATCCCTACACAGATCTGGCTGGCACAGGGCACAAAACCACAGCTCGCCCCTATACACGAAGCCAAGCCAGAGCACAACTAAGTGCAGTACAACCATCTTCTCAGAAAAACTCTTCACAAAGTTCAAGAGGTCAAGACACGAAGGCTTTAGCAACTAATCCACACCTAATGACCCACCTAAGTGGTACTCAGAATATCACTCAAGAAATCACTCAAGATATCCCTCAAGTAATTAAGGAACAAAAGAAGAAAAGGCACACTAGCCTGGGAACTTCCTCTCTGCCCAGAACATTGGAGGCTATACACCACACCCCCTCTACAGTATTTATAGGAACTCAAACACTGAGATCCTGCTCTGTTCCAGTAACAAGAAGCCGAAAGCACCAGCCTGAAGATGACGAGTGAGACCTCGTCGAAACGTCGCCTAGACACCCCAACTTTTACACGGGAAGACACCCGAGGACACCAAAACCTGCATTCCTGTACCCGTGAAAATCTACGAAAGCATATATATATATATATATATATAAACAACAACCCAGGATACTGAAATAGAGCATTTAAAATTGCTGTGTATTTTAAAAGTTCACCAAGGAACCAGAAAAGAAGCTGAGCAGTGTGCCCAGCTTTCTGAGGTAAACTCTTTAAATGTCATGCTAGCTAGTCTCCCAAGAAATGCCCTAAGGATGCTCTCAAGTGCTTAAATAGTGTAGAAAGCTCACTTTTTTGGGTCTGCCACAAGCAGTTTAAATTGGCATTTATTACTTTTATAGAGCATGTAGCTCAGTCTCCTGTAAAGAGACTAGCTAATAACTGGCTGCTTTCTCACACTAAAAGAAACGAGAAAACAGTTGTGCCACAGAGAAATATGGGGGCACCCCCCTTCAAGCTCTTGACTTTATTTCCCCCTGCCCCCAACACTACCTCCTTCAAATGCCATTTTATAGAAGTAAACAGCTGAGTAGGGAAAATCAAGGCCCAGAAAAAATTGGGAAAAACCATGTTGTGTTATAAGCCAGATTGTGTTTTAAGTCAGTAATGTGTACACTGCCTGAGTTGCTGTGAGTTGGGGGTGCCAATTGAGCAGAGCTCTGATCTGAAGCTCTTTTTCTCCTCTCCCACATTCACAATGTCTGCCTGCTCCTTTTTTCTATTTTACAGAAATTATGCAGGTTATTTTCTTAAGAGGCACTTCTATGACATATGCCATTTTCATACTAAAGCCATCACCTACAAAACCACAGGGAAGGAAGCCAATCCCTTTTAATTCTCAACCCCGGTCAACTTTAAAAATGTCTAGCACAAAAAAAAATCCCTGCATCTATATACTTCAGAAATATTGCCGGTTTCTTACCTAGAATCATAGAATTGTGGAGTTGGAAGGGACCCTGAGGCTAATCTACCTGTAATACATGATACCTAGTGGTGTCTCTCTAATATATGCAATTTTCATCTAAATTGCTTCACAAAACAATAGAAGGGTATTAAGTGATTAAAATAAATAAATAAATAAATCCCAAACTGGCAAAGGCTGTTCTTGCAGAAGAAACTACTGCTAGTGTCCTTCAGAAATTTGGCTTTGTTCCTTCCCTCAGAGGGGGCTGCCATTTATGAAAGTTTTGCCCAGTTCAGCTAAAAAAGAAGAGAGTTATTGATTACAGTATTATCTAAAAGACAACAACTGCATTTTTAAGGGGCCCAGCAACAACAGCAACAAGCCATTGCATTGTTCTTCTGGAATTTCTTAGGTGTTATGCAATGTAACAAACAAACAATTTCAGCCATTTTCATCAAATTCGATCAAAAGGGGGGGAAATGTAGCCATTTTTTATTTCTCCATAATAGTAAATGGGGGGTCATAAATGTCTTGTTCTGCCAAACTGAGTTTCGAACCTGAGCTGAATCAGGGAACCTTCAAATGGATCTGAGGTGAATTCATCTGTTTTCCAAAGCACTTAATCAAATCCTGAGGTAAATAATGTAGTTGGTCCATACTCCCAGCTCAAATGGAAGCTGGTGTTTCCAAGTCATAAGACATGTTTCAATATATTGGGATGCTGTAGTTGGCAATGTATCTATCACAGTTACTGTATACAGGTAGGCAGAGTCCCTTCTCAACTGTAGCAACCCAAAAAGCTGCCTATATTGTTTAATCTGTAATACTTTTAAAAAAATGCTCCCTGGCTTTTAAACCACTTTTTACATATATCTGAAATACTGGTAGTGTATTTTGGGCACTTTTAGCGCATTTCTAATTGTTTTGCTGTGTTTTAGTGTAAACTATCCTGGTATACATATTATGCAGGGCAGTTAGTATATATAAATCCCTGAAATAATAAAAACAAAAACATACTGAAATGCCAGTATGTGGAACTAGTTTCTGTTTCATCTATGATTGTATGTTTTAAACACAAACCTATGAAAGATCACATTGTACAGTGTATGTTGCAAAATTTGTCAGATAAAACAAAGAGTGCATTTCTCCCTCTGCTTACTGACCTGCATTCGGATTAAACAAAACACCCTTGTGCCACCCTTCTTGGCTGTGTTATAAAATACACACCTTTTCTGGCATGGATATGAAGTTCTGTGTTAAGTTCTGGAGAACTTAAATGATAAGGCTGTCTCAGTGTTTTGGAATCTTTGAGTGCCCCTTTATAAGAGTATCACTCTTAAGAGGCTGGAATTATTTGCCTAGTCTAGTGTTTACATTTCCAGACAAAGATGTATTGAAAAATCAAAAATCAATTCTTTTGGGGGAATAGCATTCTGTGTTTGCTTCCGTAAATTTTGCAAGCAGGCAGTATCCGAGAGAATCATTATAACTGGGCTGGCATTATTCTCTCTCTCAGGGGTCAGCAAACTTTTTCAGCAGGGGGCCAGTCCACTGTCCCTCAGACCTTGGGGGGGGGCAGACTATATTTTGAAAAAAACCCACATGAATGAATTCCTATGCCCCACAAATAACCCAGAGATGCATTTTAAATAAAAGGACACATTCTACTCATGTAAAAACACCAGGCAGGCCCCACAAATAACCCAGAGATGCATTTTAAATAAAAGGACACATTCTACTCATGTAAAAACACGCTGATTCCTGGACTGCCTGCGGGCCGAATTTAGAAAGCAGTTGGGCCAGATCCGGCCCCTGGGCCATAGTTTGCCTGCCCATGCTCTACATGCAATAGTTACTTTGGATGCTAAAACTGAATTAGCAAATCAGGTCCCTTCTTCTTTCTATGTGGTAGCAAGAACATGTACCCAGGGTCGTCTTTACTCAGGAGTGCAAGGGGTGTGGGGCACCCGGGGGCCAAATTTGGGGGGGGGCGCAAGGCGCCCGCCGCTGAAGCCACCTAAGCTCTTAACTATCTTCCTGTTATGAAATAATAAATAATTTTGATCAAGCTAGAAAAACAAAATACATATATACCTAGGTATTACCGAAATGTATACCTACTGTTTCACTAAAGGACTTTTGACTTTGTGCACTCATTTACCAAAGATGTGCCACGCCAGCAATGGCGCTTGTCATTCTCAACGGCGCCATGCACATGAAATTAACTAAATTTGGGAGCGCTGGGTGGATCTTTGCACCCTGGCGGTGCACATGCTAAAGACGGCCCTGCACGTACCTATGGGACTTTATAAGCACAGACCCTGTGCAGACATTAAGCGAGTGGGAAATCTGGCACAGGGAAGGGGAGCGAAATCTGCTTCTGTTATTGTAATTCCTCCCTCTGTGCATGGAGAAGAAATTACTCTGAAAGACTGTGCAGGGATAAACAGCCCACACAACATGACTTGCAGTCTTAACCAATGTCTGCTCAGGTGTAAGTCCTGTTGAATTCAATGGGGCTTCCTCCCAGGTAAGTGAGGCTAAACTCAAATAGGCAACTATCCATGCCTCCCCATTGTGAAGTTATTGTGAGGAATTCCTAAGCCATTTCTTTCTGGACTTTGATTACGATTTATGCCTTGTGGTTCTAAAACATTTATTGGTTAGTAAAGCCACTTGTCTTAAATCTGTTAGGAAGGAAGATGTCTGCATCCTGTCATATAAAGGAGATTTCATGGAGTAAGTCAGAGGGATGTCTGGTTGACTTGGATGACGGCAGCCCTGCAAGAAATGATTGGACAGGTATGTTGCTAGCATCCTACCTTCTTAAGCAGAGTTCTGATCGGAATCTACGTTTGCTTGATAAATGCTTGGTTTATTTTATTTTATTTTATTATATTTATTGAATTTATATAGTGCCCTATACCCGGAGGTCTCAGGGTGGTTCAGAGAACAAAATCAAAATATAAAACCACAAAATATATAATCAAAATAAAAACAACATATTGCACCTGGTATTTTTAGTTAATGTAAGGGAAACTGAAGTATCTTGACAAATGCAGAATATTAGGTAGAAGACAATAAATATAAAGTCGCCATACTTAACTTCATTTTCTTCTTTTTAACAGATGACAGAGAAAATGAACTGGAGCTGAAGTCCCATTGGTCTGAAGAATTTAAGCAACGTGTCCCTGGAGCATTTAAGACCAATCCTTTTTGGAATGTACTGTCAGCATCCAATCCTTTTTTAGACGATGTAGCTCAGTCAAACAACAGAGAAAAAAGTGACAAGCGCATATCTATCTTAAAAGAAGACCCCTATTTATTTTTTAGAGATCTAAATAACAGAGACTCTACTGCTTCATCTGGAGACGAATTGAATCTTGATTATCTTTTTCTTCGCAAATCTTCCAGGAGATCGGCAAAATCTCGGAGTGTTTCAGATCTTTTGGATATTGTAGGGACTAAGACATTTGAACTCCCTAGCACGGCACCGTCCAACCATATCCTGCCTCCAAACAGTGAACCTCTTCAGAATGATCGTGAAGCCTATAAGACAGCGTGGTTGAATCAAAGGCAGCTGGCTCGATCTTGCCTGGATTTGAATGCAATAAACCAGAGTCCAGGATGGGCCCAAACCCAGTCTGTAGAAACCCATATAGCTTGCAAAGTGAGTCATGAAGGCGGCTCAGTGCAGCTTCCTGACTCGGAGATTGCGGTTCATTTCCCCGAAGGCCACGTAGCCTTTGGAGAATACCAAGAGGTTGGCTTACAGGCAATCCTTGACTCCCCACCATCGCTCAACCATGAGTTTTCGACCACTGTGAGCCCACTGATTGAACTGACATTAAGTAACCTCAATACCACAGAAGCCATTTTGCTCGAAATGAAAATTGCAGCTGAGGTAAAGAAGGACCCTTTCAGTCAGGTTATGACTGAAATTGTATGTCTATGTGGTTTCACTAAAGAGGGTCCGTTTGAAAGAATAAACAACTGTTACATCTATAAAGATACTATCCAAGTCAAGCTGACGGACCTAAGTCACTTGATGTACATTGTGGCTGTAGCCCAAACCAATACAATTAATTCACCAGCAAGCGCTTGGGAGTATATACACAGAAAGCTCTCAGTTGGGATTTATGGACCCAAACATATCCACCCTTCGTTCACAGTTGTATTTGCCCTGTTTGGCCACAACTATGTTCCAGAGAAACTTACAGTATGTGACATTAAAAAGGGTGGAAAGAGCATGCCCCCGGTGGTTTTCCAGCTCTGGGGAAAGCATACATTTGCACTTGAGAAGCCACAAGATCTCAACATTTTTGTGGCCTCTTGTGACCCTGATTTTGAAGTGAAGGAAGAGGATCAGAGGAAAGAAATTAAAGAAGGGATACTGAAAGGGGGCGGCGAAGTGATTCACCAACACTTCCCATTTTCTATAATCAACAGAAGGAAAATACATCTATTTGTCTTCCGCGTCCAGGTGAAAGTCCCAAGCAACAACGTGGTGTGCCAGTTTTACATCACAACCCCTGAGCCAGCTCCAAAGCCATTAACTGGGGTGTTTAACAAGCCAAACCGATTAGAAAGACGCAAGGCGGTCAACTCTGCCCCACTGCTGTCGACGCCAACAATTAAATATCCAGTTTTCCAGGACAAAGCTTTACACGTTGCCAGCTATGGTGTAGCTTTGAAGACAGTGTTGCGTCAAAATAAAATTGACTATTTGCTAGAATATTTTAAAGGCGACACAATAGCGCTTCTTGGCGAAGATAAGGTGAAAGCCATCGGACAGGCTAAAGTAAAAGAATGGTACGTGGGCGTTCTTAGAAGAAAAGTTGGCCTCGTACACTGCAAAAATGTCAAAGTGATAGCCAAAGACCAAGCTATGGATATTGATGATAGCACAATCACAACCAAAAGCCTTCTTGAGCAAATCGCTTTGCCTTTTAGAAAGCTGACTTATATCTACGCAGCAATCTTATCCACGGTATCGGAGAAAATGAATGATTGGAAAGCTTTAGCTGATGCCCTTGGATTTTCGAACATGTCTTTGGATGCTTTCAGTGATGTACAAGCTGACAAAGAATCAGAAAAAGTAGCCTACGTTGTGAAGAAGCTCAAGGAAGTCTGCCACGATAACAGAAATACCAGGCGTTTCCTGTACGAGCTGTCTGTTGTAAGTACTGCTTGGATGTGCCCTGTTAGGCCACATTCACACCAAACATTTTACCCCTATTCTCACAGAGCTACTGTACATTTCCCAGAGTTCCCTGGGAGGGAGGATTGACAGTTAAATCACTCTGGAAATTGTAGTTCTGTGAGGAAAATGGGGGTCTCCTAGCAACTCTCACCACCCTTAACAAACGATAGTTCCCAGAATTCTTTGGGGGAAGCCATGACATGCTTTAAATGCATGGTGGGGATGTGGTCTTTGTTTATGTGAGGCCCAAATGAGCAATAATTGACTTAGCTAATTTGTTGGGATTATGGTTATCCTTCTCCACCTCAAGGCCTGTAGGCAGGTGACATGACGGTGATCCAGCAAAGCTATTTTAGTCGGAAAAATGGCTTTGTTAGCTGTGTGAGCTGCAGCTGCAATGGAAACATTTAAAGCAGTTCTTGGCTCCGTATGTAGTTCTCTCACATGCTCCTTTATAGGTTTGTTGGATCCTGACCAAGATGTCTGAAAAAAGCTGGTTGTGAAAATGTTCACTTAATGTTGAAATTATGTAGAAGCTGTGGGGCAAAAACACACTGTTGATCACTGGGCTCTTTAGTTTTTTTATCAACTTATAAGAGCCTGCCTAGTTCCTTATGAAAGCCTGGAAGTGTGGGAGCCAAGAGAGTGTACTTCAGTTGTTGTTCTCCCATCATCCCTGACTGTAATTCCCGTCATCCCTGACCATTGGCCATGTTGTCTGGCTGGGGCTGATGAGAGTTGGAACCCACCACACTGGGGAACCCAGCGTGGTGTAGAAGTTAGGGCAGGCATAGGCAAACTCGGCCCTCCAGATGTTTTGAGACTACAGTTCCCATCATCCCTGACCACTGGTCCTGTTAGCTAGGGATGATGGGAGTTGTAGTCCCAAAACAACTGGAGGCCCGAGTTTGCCTATGCCTGAGTTAGGGTGTTGGAATAGGATCTAGGAAACGGGGGTTCAAATCTCCACTCAGCCATTAAGCTCACTGGGTGACCTTGGGCCAAACACCAACTTTCAGCCTGTCTCACAGGGTTGTTGTGGGAATAACATGGAGCCATGTATGCTACCTTGAACTCCTTGATATAAATGCAATAATGGAAAACATGATGTTGGCTACCTCTGGTGCAGTCCGTCTCCCATCTCTGGAAAACATAAATGCCAGACAACTTTTCCTTTATCCCTATGGTAGAATTCCTGCCATAACCCTTCAGAATCATAGGTGGAATTATTTGGGGGAAGTTAAAGATAGCTGTGCGACCTGATGATCAGCTGATGGGTGAGACACCTTGCCCCTTTGTAATGAGCCAGAGCCCTTCATCCTGTGATCTCACCTCTCAGCAGCACTGGCATTGCGAATCCTTTCTAGCTGGAACTGAAGTTCTTCCTGCATCTCAGCACTTTGCTCAATGTAGAGCAGCATTTCCCAACCCGGTGCTCTCTGGACATTGTTGGGCTCAACCTCCTCTTCACCCAAACCAGCATAGCCGGTAGTCCAGCTGCACCAGGAAGCCTGAATGCAGAGTGCTGTTCCCCTGAAAGTTGTTTTGAAGGTGTCTCCCCTTACAGTGGTACCTCGGGTTACAGACGCTTCAGGTTAAATACGCTTCAGGTTACAGACTCACTCCACTAACCCAGAAATAGTACCTTGGGGTTAAGAACTTTGCTTCAGGATGAGAACAGAAATCGTGCTCTGGTGGCACGGTGGCAGTGGGAGGCCCCATTAGCTAAAGTGGTGCTTCAGGTTAAGAACAGTTTCAGGTTAAGAACGGACCTCCGGAACAAATTAAGTACTTAACCCGAGGTACCACTATATCTGGGTTTCCCCTGACTTTCCTCATTGCGCAATTGTAGCTGCAAGCAATCTTCCTCCATAATGAAGATTTCTCCTTAAATTTTCAGTATCAGCCTGATAATTGCATTCAGTTAATGTATTTATTGGTAGAGAAACAAGAATCGTTACTGTAGCACTTTGGTTTGCAAGGAAGTGTACTTAAAGAGTTTGCCTGGCAGCATTGCAATGGCTTTATGGTACTTTCTTCTACTTGAAAAGTGTAATAGCTAGAGGGACTATTCTTTCTCTGTTGACTAAGGGAGCAATCCTATTTTGTTTATTTGTTTGCTTATTAAATTTGTATACATACCATATTTTTTGCTCTATAAGACTCACTTTTTCCCTCCTAAAAAGTAAGGGGAAATGTGTGTGCGTCTTATGGAGCGAATGCAGGCTGCACAGCTATCCCAGAAGCCAGAACAGCAAGAGGGACTGCTGCTTTCACTGCGCAGCGATCCCTCTTGCTGTTCTGGCTTCTGAGATTCAGAATATTTTTTTTTCTTGTTTTCCTCCTCCAAAAACTAGGTGCGTCTTGTGGTGTGGTGCGTCTTATAGAGCGAAAAATACGGTAATATGCAAGAAGCTGGCATAAAGCAAGCCAGATTGAAAACTCTGTTCAAGAGCAGGGCTACTGCTGGCTGAGCCTGACAGAGGGAAAGGAAGCCTTTAGAAAAGGATTTGAGTTATCCCATCCTTTTTGCTGGCTTAAGGGTAAAGGTAAAGGACCCCTGGATGGTTAAGTCCAGTCAAAGGTGACTATGGGGTTGTGGCGCTCATCTCGCTTTCAGGCCAAGGGAGCCAGCGTTTGTCCACAGACAGCTTTCTGGTTCATGTGGCCAGCATGACTAAACCACTTCTGGTGCAATGGAACATCGTGACAGAAACTAGAGCGCACGGAAACACTGTTTACCTTCCCGCTGCAGCGGTACCTATTTATCTACTTGCACTGGCGTGCTTTCGAATTGCTACGTTGGCAGGAGCTAGGACAGAGCAATGGGAGCTCACTCCGTTGCAGGGATTCAAACTGATCGGCAAGCCCAAGAGGCTCAGTGGTTTAGACCACAGCGCAACCTACACTGGGTTGCCATGTCATGTGACCAAGCGAATAGGCTTAGGATCCAGCTCTGGTCCCGCCCCCAGAATGCCCCTTCCTTAGGCCCTAGGCTGGCTAAAGATATGTTGGGTTGGGCCCCAGCAGAGACAGGATGAGACATGCCCTTATTTAAATATACACTCACCCCAGCTCTCTCACACTAAGGTCCTTTCACAGTGGCTCGCTATCAAAGTCATAACAAAACACAACACAACACTGTCAACACACACCCTTAAAAAAAGCTTGAAAACAAAAAAACCACAGCAAGCCAGACAGAAACACTGTGACACATAGGTCTGCAGTCTTCACACCCGACTAAAATTCAACAAATAGGGATCCAAACCTAACTTTAGCAGGAGGGAGTTCCACAGATGAGGTGCCACAACTGAGAAGGCCCTTTCCTTGGATCACTGCCTGTGGTGGGATCCCAAGGAGGGCCTTCCCAGTAGATCTTAAAGTACAGGCTGGTGGATAATGGGACAGGCGCCCCTACAGGGATCCAAGTCATTCAGGGCACACTGTAAGTTATCAACAGGACCTTGAATGGGGCCCAGTACTGTACTGTCAGTCAATGCTGAACCATTGTTACATGGTTCAGAAAAGAAGCATTGCTCCAGCATGGTCAATGGTTCCAGTGTTTCATTATTGTGTGTCCCGCCCCCTTGTTTTTAGCTGTTCTTATTTTACCTGTAAGCCACCTAGCATTGGGAAATGCTGGTTTTGGACATAAGCCTTTCAAATCTTAGTCCTTTTTCTGTGATGACATGTTGCTCATTAGCAAGTTGCCCAAAATAACAGAAGCCCTTTAGCTTAAAAATAGCAAGCACTGGAAGTCATGGGTTTCGTCATTGTCAGGATATATATACTACCGCTTAAGGACTTCTCACTAGTTCTCTGCAGCTGCAATTTTAAACATGGACTTGCAGGTAAAAGTTATGTCTCTTGCCTCCAGCTTCTTCCCCGAGGCTATATTTTCAGGCTCATTATACAGGTGTAGTTCTTGGTAAAACTTAAGTACCTTTTTGTTTTCTTTTTTACAATGGCAGCTTTCTGCCAAAGAGCTGCAGCATCTTAAAGGCCTGAGAATATAATTGATGCATATGATTGTACAGTGGTACCTCGGATTACATACACTTCAGGTTACATACGCTTCAGGTTACAGACTCCGCTAACCCAGAAATAATACCTCAGGTTAAGAAATCGTGCTCCCGCAGTGCGGCGGCAGCAGGAGACCCCATTAGCTAAAGTGGTACTTCAGGTTAAGAACAGTTTCTGGTTAAGAACGGACCTCCGGAACGAATTAAGTACTTAACCCGAGGTACCACTGTACATAGGATGGAGATGGTGTGGAGATGCTGCGTAGGATCAGGCCAGCATATGATCTGTTATGGTCGGTCTGTGCAGTGCCCACATTCAACCTATGCAGAAACACTTTTTGGGTGGCCTCCTTGTGAGGAAAGCAATGTTAAAATGGAGCAGCCTCTATTTCTTCCAAAGATCTTCTATGAATCCAGTGTTTCTGTGTTTCTTCCTGAAATAACCACATTAGCGGATCAAGTTTCCATCTTGGTGTGGGATATGCAGCTGTCCCATTCTGGGATCGAACCTGCAACCTTGGTGTTATCAGCACCCCGCTCTAACCAACTGAGGAAATGGGAGTTTCAACCTCTGGAGAGCCAGAGATTCCTACTTAAACCTTGCATAATTGGTTAGTTGTAAGCTGCTGTGATTTTTTTTAAAATGGTAGTACAGTCATACCTTGGTTTTCAAACAACTTAGTTCTCGAATATTTTGGCTCCCGAACACCGCAAACCTGGAAGTGAGTGTTCCGGTTTGCGAACTATTTTTGGAAGCTGAACGTCCGATGGGGCTTTCAATTGGCTGCAGGAGCTTCCTGCAGCCAACCAGAAGCCGCACTTTGGTTTTCGAACATTTTGGAAGTCAAACAGACTTCCGGAACGGATTCCATTTGACTTCCAAGGTACAACTGTATATAAATATTGTAAATAAAACAACATTTTAAGAGCAAAACGGAAGAGATATTTTCTTGTCTCAGACGGAATGCCATTTCTTTTGTTCAGTTTTGGGCCAGCAGAGCAAAGCGACTGCATTTACATAAACCTGAACATTTTAAAAGGACGCTCAAGTAAAAAGAGCTGAGAGCAAGAAGTCATCAGTTATTGGCTTTTCTTCTGTGAAAAATGATTATACAAATGGCCCACAATACCCATATACATTTCTTTTCCTAAGCAGATTTTATCCTGCTGCAGCCTAGTTTTAAAGTAATTGCTCAGGAGATAACTTTCAGTAATTTCAGCCGGTCTTTTCCCTGGCTAATGACTATAGGCAGGACTGTCCTAAATATCTGTAATCAGGATTAATGAGTAAACTCTATTATGGATTATGTGGTCCTAAGACTGACATTTATATAAAACCATATTCTTCTTTCTGGGAACAGTATGCCATTTTTGGCAGTATAGGGATAAATCTGGAAAAACTACTGTAATTAGTTCAGATTTCCTTTTAAATCTGGCTCCTATGCTAATTGTTCAAGGGAAAGAGAATTGATACAGATTCACCAGGAGTTAGTAAAATTGGTAACAATTATTCCAGTGTATCTATTGTTTTGCTACCAGATGCAAGATTCACAAAGCCCTGCTCAACTTGGAGCCAAAAGTACCTTGAAGACCACCAGATTTCTTATACTCTTCTCTGATCACAGAAGCCTTCAGATGGGGCACATTTTGTGCCCCCGCCCCTTAGATTTAACAGGCCTTTACCAGGGACCAAGACATCTGTGTGGGCAGACCCTGCTCTGTGGAACTCCTTGCCCCATGATCTTTGTTTGACAGGAGTCACCCCTGGTTTCTTTCAAACGTCTTTTAAAAACTGTTCAATCAGGTCTTCAGAATCTTTTTTTTTTTAACCAACTAATTTTTAATGATAAGTTCTTTTCGCTTTCGCTATTTTGGCATATTGTGTTTTTAATCTTACACCTTGCCTTGTTATAATTTCTACAGGAGTGTGGCTTATAAATATTTAAATAAATATATGTATGTGACTAAGTAAAACATACAGTGATACCTCGGGTTACATACACTTCAGGTTACATACGCTTCAGGTTACAGACTCCACTAACCCAGAAATATTACCTCGGGTTAAGAACTTTGCTTCAGGATGAGAACAGAAATTGTGCTCCGGCGGCGCAGCAGCAGCAGGAGGTCCCATAAGCTAAAGTGGTGCTTCAGGTTAAGAACAGTTACAGGTTAAGAACGGACCTTCGGAACAAATTAAGTACTTAACCTGAGGTACCACTGTACTGTAAAGGAGGACCCGTTGAAATCAATGGACTTAAGACTGCATTCAAATAGCATTTCATCCAGTTTTCATGATGATCCCTTGCCTAATCATTTCCACATTTTATGTTATCTTTCTCCACATGTAAAAAAGCCACTTCTGGAACACTAGTGGAATATTTAGCATAAGTTTAAGTCCTCGTTTCCGTATTGCTTCAAATAGTTGCACAAGCTGGCTATAATTAATTGTTATTCATGGTTGCTTGAGAACATAATCTTCAAACTTGTGGTTGCAGGCCCTGCTGAAGCTGGATTGCCAAGGATTACTTGCACGTATCACGCAAGACACAGTCATTTTTACATCTGCTGTGAAGCTTGGGAAAGGCTGGAGAGAGCTGGCAGAAAAATTAGCACGACTCACAAAGCAACAAATCGAAGCTTATGAAACTCCCCACCGGGGCACAAATGGAGATGTCCCTCCAGAGGTGAAACTTCTCTCACTTTCTTTCACTGTGCTCTTTTGCCACCAGAGCTTTTTAGGCTGAATACAGACCATTGTTTTTATAACTGACATAAAATGGCATTGCTTGCCATGGGATGTATGTGTACACATTCCTTTTGTCCCACCATTGCTTCTAGTCAAACAGGTTGCATAGGTTTTCTGAGCACAATTCAAAGTGTGGGTGCTGACCTTTAAAGCCCTAAATGGCTTCGGCCCAGTATAATCAAAGGAGCGTCTCCACCCACATTGTTCAGCTCGGATACTGAGGTCCATCTCCAAGGACCTTCTAGTGGTTCCCTCACTGCGAGAAGTGAAGTTACAGGGAACCAGGCAGAGGGCCTTCTTGGTAGTGGTGCCCGCTCTGTGGAAAGCCCTCCCATCAGATGTCAAGGAGATAAGTAACCATACAACCTTTAGAAGACATCTAAAGGCAGCCATACTCAGGGAAGTTTCTAATGTTTGATGTTTTAGCGTGTTTTTAATATTATGTGGGAGCCACCCAGGGTGGCTGGGGAAACCCAGCTGGATGGGCAGGGTATAAATAATAAATTATTATTACTATTATTATTTCTTAAATGATATAATACCCATCAAACATGGTGAAAACAGAATTGGTCAATACACTCTTGAAACTGTCTCTCTTCAGTCCTAAACATCATTCTCTCTCTCTCTCTCTCTCTCTCTCTCTCTCTCGGTCTTACTGTTATGTGTCCAAACTTTCAACTCTAATAATTCTTGTCTGTGTTATAATAGCATGACACAAAATTGCTCAAAGCCATTTCTCAAAGCCCACCCAAAGAGACGAGGCTCATCAAGTTGATGGAGACAAAATATTGAATTAAACATTTAAATGGCTTCTCTAGAGAATTTAAATGGAGACATCCTGAGGGTGTAAGTCTATAAAGATTCATTTTGCAGTCCTGTGCATATTTTATTTAGGATAAGGTACACAGCTCTGCTGAGTTATGAGTAAACGTGTTTTGGATTGTTCCGCATCTGTCAATGAAGCTATATAAAAATTTCCATTAACATTGGCCTTTATTGGCAGATGATTTTGGCTTGGTATCCCAAACAAATATGAAAATGTGTAGATATTGTTGGAGGACAATGACAGCTAAACTAGCAAGGCACATGACCGTAGAGTGGTACCTCGGGTTACAGGTGCTTCAGGTTACAGACTCCACTAACCCAGAAATAGTACCTCGGGTTAAGAACTTTGCTTCAGGATGAGAACAGAAATTGCGTGGCGGCGGCACGGCAGCAGCAGCAGCAGCAGGAGGCCCCATTAGCTAAAGTGGTACCTCAGGTTAAGAACAGTTTCAGGTTAAGAATGAACCTGCAGAACGAATTAAGTTCTCAACCCTAGGCACCACTGTATAATGCAGTGAATAATCCAAACAGGAAGCAATGCAAAACTTTGAGCATTTCAGTATACTTTGGCTTTCAAATTTTTGTCTGTATGTACTAGTTCCCATAATAGAAAAGAGGTCAGAATATTATTCACCTCATTTTTTGAATCTATTTCTTTTGGCCTGTACAGTCATACCTCGGGTTAAATTTGCTTCAAGTTGAGCGCGTTCGAGTTGCGCTCCGTGGCAACCTGGAAGTAACGGAGTGCGTTACTTCCGGGTTTCGCCTCTTGCGCACGCGCAGACGCTCAAAATGATGTAACGCGCATGCGCAGAAGCTGCGAAAAGCGGCGTGTGCGTGCGCAGACGTACCATCGCTAGATATGTTTACCTCTGGATGCAAACGGGGCTCCGGAACAGATCCCGTTCGTATCTAGAGGTACCACTGTATTTAATTTTGATTGTTGTCCACCTTGGCTTGTTCTTTGAGTTACCAGATTTTTCATGTAGTTCTCTGATATGTGACTTGGACTTGCACTTAAATAAGACAAGATAAGAAATCCTATAGCCAAAGATAATCTAGGTGAAATCTTGCATAAAGTACTGTTTGTCAAAAAGGGGAGAAAAGGTACTTGATTTTGCAGTGGTCCTATCCTCCTCTCTCTTTTTCTTATGCTTATGTTTTTATTTGGAATCATTCATCATGAGCAGCCTTAGAAATCTCATATCAGCTGCCACAGGGATATTAAGCTGTCAAGTTAGAAGTTAAATGAAATATTCACAACAACCAAATAGCTGCCTCTTTGTCTGTCAGCATGCAGCGTGCAGGAATTTGATAACTCTGTGCGCAGTGTTTTCATTTTTCCTGTGTTTATTTATAGCTTGGTCTTTCCCAAAGGAGGGTCAGGTTCTGTAATAGCACTTCTTTCCTTACTCAATTCTTACAGCAGCCTTGTGTGGCAGATCCCACTTTGCAGATGAGATACTCACTCTGACGTTTTTTAATTTTTGTATTAGTTTCACCTGTAGGCTGCTTTCCCACATAAATGTGCCCAAAGCGGCTCGCAGTGCTGCAAAAAAATAAAAAAATGCATATTATTACAATAATAGTTTAATTTGCATTGATTTCAAAACATACATAGTATGATAATCCAGCACACAGTGCTTTAAAAGAGTCTCATCCTCCATGAATACTGTCTTCTAGCTCCACTGATGGAGCCTTATAGCCCTGAATACCAGTTGCAGGGAATCACAAGTGAACAGAGTGCTGTTTCTCTTGGGTCTTCCTTAAAGGCTTCCCAGAGGCATAGCCACTGTGAGAATGAGATGCTGGACTAGATAGAATGTTGGCCTGATCTAGCAACACTATTCATTTGTTCCTAGATAATTCATTTTCATATTACTATTAATGAATGAATTAAATTTGTATACTCACCCCCCCTTCATCTGTAGAACTCAGGGCAGTTCACAACATAAATCTGCTTCACAGCAGATGATGATTCCACCCAGCTGGGGCTTCTTCTGCAGCCAATCAGGGCTGGGTGGAGTGTCCACCAATCAGGAGGGAGTGGACAGTTAAATGGTCCAGTTGAGCTTAGCTTGGTCATGGCTGGAGATTAGCTGGGCATTGGAGCGGTTTGCTAGGCACGGCAGCCCCAATTATTTCCCTGAGGGCAAGGATAAAATTCTAAAATGGGCCTGAAAGTGTTTTCTTGGTTTAGGTAGGAGAACAAAAAGCCATTCTGGGAGGAATCAGCTTAATTAGAAACTGGTTTAAAGTCCAATTTTAAATAAAGTTCTTAATTACTTCTGTAAAAGGTTTTTGGCTTATCATCTTAACCATCAAGCTTAAACCCTCATCATGTGTGTTTAAATTAAATTCCAGTTTTGTTTCCAACATGGCTCATCCTTACTTTGATCCTCTGGGTGAGGGAGAAGTGGTCACAAGTTTTCCTTTCACATTATTAAGCGTCCTTGCTCCTGGATATTAGCAGTTGCTACCACATACAGAGAATCTCAAACCTCAACAGGTTGTTTTAAAGCACCCCAAACTCTGTCACGTTCCCTATCTTTATTGAGGAAGTTTACCACAACCATGCCTTCCAAAACTCCAATGTCTTTACGGTTCCTGCTTGCTGGTTACACCTGGAGTAGCCAAACTGGTTCCCTCCTGTTGCTGTTGGACTCCATCTCCCATCATCCCCAGCTAGCAGGTATCATGGTTAGTGGTGATGGGACCTGTAGTCCACCTGAGGGCACAGTGCTGGCTACTACTGTGCTGCACAGCAGTACATAACACTGGCCAGGTTTGAGGCATAGCTGGGCAAATTTCCCTTCTGCCTTGGTAAGCCCCATAAGCTTAGCAGGCAGCACTGGGACAGCAGGAGTTTCTTTTGGACATGTTTCTCATGCAAGCAAATCTGATCTTGAGCATCGTTCATGTAGTAAGCAGAAAAATACAAATTCAGGTTCTTCATTCAGGTTTTCCAAACATCGCTAGCTGTGATCACTAGCTCACAAGCATTCTGAGACTTTAAAAATAGCACTTGCTTATTCAGTCAATCTATATGAGCAGACACTCCTATTACATGACTTCTTGCCATTCTGCATCTCCTAATTGCTGTTAAGTAAAACAGTGGTAAGAATGAATTGCACTCCACCCTGTCTCAGATTCTTGACTTTCACGGGCCAGGCTGAGTTTGCAGAACTGACATCTAGGAAGTCCCCTTTGTCTCTCTTTAATTTGCAAATCGAGCTTAATTGAGAACATTTGATCCCAAAGCTGCAGGTTCAAGGTTATTTTCACAGTATCTATCTGCATTTTGAGAGCTTGACAGTAAGACTGGCATTCTGGCTTCTTTACTGTCAGTGCTAAACTTGCTCTCCATCTGCGGTTTTCAGATTTACTTTAAGGTGGTATGTTTTTAAAATAGAAGTTTCTGATGGAGCATCATTTTAAAAAAATGACTTCCATAATTATCCATTGTTTTCTGCTGTTCTGATTTGCCAGTGTTTATGTTTGAAATTTTTAAACATAAATGACCCCCTCCAAGAATAATACAACTTTCTGTTTGCCTTTTTGCTATCTTCTGTACTGATTTTGTTTTGTTTTTTACTTTGCTGTTGCATCTTCCAGTAGACACCTACAAAATGGGAATAAAATTAATTTCCACTAGGAATTCCTAAAAGTTTTGTCTGTGCAAGGCTGCCGTGACCCAGTGCTCATTATGAATAGCTGCTAATTCCCTAAAATTGTTCTTCCCTATTATCAAAGATAATTTCTGGGTTGCCAGAGCTTGTGATGTCCTATGTTTTTAGTGTTGCTAAAAAGTAGTTGCAGGCCCCCTCAACTGGTTCCTGTACTTTACGTGAGATACATGTTGAGAAGTTTAAAGTACTCCTTTGCATGAGTCAGAATGTTGATCTTTTTAGCCCAGTAATATCACCGCCTCCCAAGTTCTTCCTTGATGAGATCTTATCTAGAGATACTTGTGGGTGAACTTGGGACCTTATTATCGCTCTCCTTTCCAGTTCAGCTTCTTTTAAATTTTCCACAAGGAGTGATGACCTACTTTGGGAAACTGCACTAGAATTTGAGCTGCTCGAGTAAAATGTTAAGAATTCATTGATCAATGACCATATTTAGAGTTTAGAAAATTAGCTGCTCAGCGATCCAGGTCCAACTCAGGGGGATTTCATGATCAATTCCATTTCATTAATTTCATTATTGGAGTACAATTTAATTTAAAGCATTTTTATCCCTTTTTTTTCCATTAAAATGTTCAAGACAGCTTACAAAAGTTAAAAAAATAGCAGAACAGTTAACGAGACCTGCAAAAAAACTCACACCAGATCAAATATACTGTATTTTTTGCTCTATAAGACTCACCCCCCCCTAAAAAGTAAGGGGAAATGTGTGTGCATCTTATGGAGCAAATGCAGGCTGCGCATCTATCCAGAAGCCAGAACAGCAAGAGGGATGCCTGCTTTCACTGCGCAGCAATCCCTCTTGCTGTTCTGGCTTCTGAGATTCAGAATATTTTTTTCCTTGTTTTCCTCCTCCAAAAACTAGGTGTGTCTTGTGGTCTGGTGCATCTTATAGAGCGAAAAATACAGTAAATGCTTTACACAGCATTCAAAATTTGTCTGGTGCCAGACATATTCTGCACCTGGCTATCAGCAACTTGCGACCAAGTGAAGATGCCTGGGCGCCCTGATTTCTCCACCACCTGGAGGCGCATGCCTGGGGATCCTTGGATCTTGGACTGTTTTCACACACCAACAGCAAAGCCTGTAGACTTCCATCCATGATATTTCATCTGCATGATCTGAACAAATTTCAGGAACCAGAAAGTTGTATTGCAAAATACAACTTTCGAGCTCTCCAGCCTCCAAATGGCAACTAGGAATTCTGTTTTGGTGATTGTAACCTTGGTTTAAGGAGCCATTTGGTGCCTAGCTTATATATCTGAATTTATAACACTGCCTTTACATTAATCAACTTAAAATATAATGGCAAGCAGCTTAAATTATAAAAGAGGAGCCTAAAAAACAAACCATCAGACCACAAATTTAATAACTTCATAATATATGACGTTCACACAAAAAGTTTTTCAAGACAGAAGCAAGGATAAAATAGCCTCCTAACCATAAAGCTCCTAATCTGAGGCAAAAGGCTACCAGAGAGAGGAAGAAACTAATTTTGTGATGTGTAAAAGCAAAATGATAATGAGAGAGTAGAGAATGCGAACTAGGTTCATCAGCAGAATCTTTTGGAGGGGATCTCAACTTAGAACAGAAATCCAACCAACCATAAATGTTATCTCCAGATATTCAGCTGCTTTCTGAATGCCCCTCAGACCCAAACGGTCCTTATAAAAAGAGGAAGAAAGAATTGTCTTGGGGCTGATGATTCATTAGGGATTTAATGACTGGTAAAAATGAATCCATTAATTCCTTTCAACATGCTAGGGGGGGTGGAGATACTTTTTTTTAAAAAAAAGTTACCTACTTAATGATATGAGGACATGTTTGTTTAGAGTTGACTGTATGTTTAGAGTTATAGTAATACAGTGGTACCTCAGGTTACATACGCTTCAGGTTACATATGCTTCAGGTTACAGACTCCGCTAACCCAGAAATAGTGCTTCAGGTTAAGAACTTTGCTTCAGGATGAGAACAGAAAATGTGCTCCGGTAGCATGGCAGCAGCAGGAGGCTCCATTAGCTAAAGTGGTTCTTCAGGTTAAGAACAGTTTCAGGTTAAGAACGGACCTCCGGGATGAATTAAGTACTTAACCAGAGGTACCACTGTATGATAATAAGTATGGGGTATGAATGAGAATATTTAACAGGGGTATGGCTAAGTTATTACTGTTTAAAGCTGGTGACTTTAATGTTATTGTTCCTGCCTATGGATTTTAAAGGGTTATGTATTTTACCATGAATCTGTATTCCAAAATATAGTAAGCCACTTTGCTTTTTGTGGAATGCCCTGGGCGCCTCCATGATATATTTTTAAGTGCCAGGCAACAAGATGTAAATGATAATAATTGATCCCCGGTATGTTTTCAACTTCAGATGATGTGGAAACCGGCGTATGATTTCCTGTACACCTGGGGAGCTCACTATGGAGACAGTTACAGAGATATGTTGCAAGACCTGCAGTCTGCACTGGACAAAATGAAGAATCCTGTGACCAAACAGTGGCGAGAATTAACCGGAGCTCTGATTCTAGTCAACTGCATGGAGGTTCTCCAGGCAAGTGCTTTCTCTAAGATGGATGAAGACTAGAAGTCATCAAATTTAGAAAGGCGCCGTGGAAATTATCTTCCTGAAACACAAAGCAGTTAAATGAGAGCATTTGCATCAAGAACCGTTTAGCTCCTCTGCCTGTGAAAATTATGCCTATTGCTTCTGGCTTTTATGGGCTTAAGCTTTTTTAAATGAAAAGATCAAGTCATTTATTTTTCAAGCAGGACCAGTTTTCCCTTGCTTTCCTTCATACCCGTGTCCCTACAACAACATGTCTCGAAAGGTGTTTGTGTACAGCAGTCGGTATTTGAACAGCCTTGCAGTGGGCTGCATGTTTTTTGGGGAAGTTTAGCACGGGAGGAATTTGAGCTGGGCAGCATAGTTACACTACTTATTCAGAGCGTTTTACCTAGAAATTGCTCCATATACCTGCTATTGTCATTCCTGAGAGAACCAGTTAGGGAAACTTTGTGCACTCCTGTGAATACATGGTTGCTCTGAGGTAATTGGGAAAGCTGTTTCATCACATGTAGAAGGTAAATATATCCTCAATTACTTTACTACAGTAGCACCTCGGCTTACGTTACCCTTGAGTAATGTAAACTTCGAGTTGCGAAAGTGGCAAACCCGGAAGTGTTTTGCCACACGTGCATGCGCAGAAGTGCTCTACCGCACCGTGTGCATGCGCAGAAGCAGTCTGCCGCCACTCGCACAGATGTGCAGAAGCAGTTCCTCTGGTTATGGAAACCTCGGGATCAAACAAGAGCTCTGGAACGGACCCCATCCGCAACCAGAGATACTACTGTACTCATTGGGTGTTTGGATTCCAGTGGAAAAGGACTGTCTGAAGGCCTCTCTGCCAGGTATCTGTATCATTGACCCATGTTTCTTCATGAAAAAGTGGTCTGTCCCCTTTGTGGATGTCTTGTGGTATTCATTTCCCCCAGCGCACCAGCCTTATCTCTCATCCCCAGGTAATGGGAGCCCCACCTCCATCTTGCTGTGACCTTGCCTTCTTATTTGGCTCTAAAGCAGATCCAGAATTGACATTCTGTGACAGTGGTGACATATTCTTAGGGTCAGTTCTCTGCTCAGTTCTCCACTCCTCAGGGCAAATGAAATGTACGGTCAGCGCATGATTCTTATGGAAACTGCCCACTGCCACAAAGCAATCTGCTCTGCTGCTGTCATAGTTTCCGAACTTGTATCCATAACATGGTGGTTCCAACATCCACTTCTGACTATCAGGCTCTGCTTGATACTCTTTACATCATGATGACAAATGAAACTGTTTTTAATGATTTTTTTAAAAAAAGTTGTCTGCATCCACCCAGGTACGTCCAAAGATAGATATTATTTTTCCACCATTGCATGTGTCAAAAGTTTAATGTACAGATACAATTTATTCACATTTTTTTGTACCTGCTGTGTTTTATTTGTGTGGGCTCTTAAGTTGGGCAGTCCTAGCTTACAAGGGTCAATGGCAGCTGTTGAATCTCTGACTGCCCTGTTAGCCACCACCTCTTCTGTTTTTTGTTTTTTTAATTCAAGAGGTACACAGCAGGGCATTAGGGACCACATGTATTTGCCATTATTCTTGGTTTGTGTGTTCTTTGCTAAAAAACCTGTTCCACTTTTTGTTTCACTGTACTAAGAGTATTTTTTTTTGGGGGGGGGTATGCATTGAGAACATGTGTGGATAAGAAGGCCACAGGCAGTCATTAGTTTCTCACTACCTGTGGATGTCTATAAAAAGAGACTTGAGAAAAATAAATAGGCTCTAAACCTCAGTGCCATTTCTGCCTTGACAATCTTACCACAATCTCAGCAAAAATCTTAGTAGTGTGAATTAATGTTGCAAGAAATGTGGCAGTTAATCACACCTAATAGTTCTAATATGTCACACCCAAAACTGCAAAGACAGAAAATTTAAGAGTTCATTTTGTTTAGCGGGGGGCTCTCTGCATAGGCCCTGTTCAGACATAGCAATCTCAGACCATTACACCATGGTTTATCAGCCAATGAAAAGCCTGTGCCTGTGTGGTTGCTCTTTGAATCTCCCCTCCCCTCATGGTCCTGGCTTTGTAGCTTAAGATCACAGCTTCTTTGAACCACAGTTTCCTATTACATCTGATCTTGGAATTGCTGATTTAATCTCTGCTTGTCGTGTTTATTAAATCACAGTTTCCTGGTGCAGATGTATCTGGAAACCATGGTTTCAATCAGCCAAGCATGAAGGGAAGGATAGGGAGGGAGTGTACAGGTTAATGGCTCATTCTCAGACTGGTGAGCCATGGTTTGTGGGACCAAGATTGCTAGTTGAAGCTTGCCCATAGAAGTCAACAATTCAGCCACTAAGACTGTTACTCTAGGGCAAGGTTATAGGATATGATTATATGCTCAGTTACTGAAACCCAGTGTCTTGAGTTCATGAAGTTCCCTGAATCTAGGGAGCTGGATTCCATGACAGTAAAACAGATGTAGCTTTGTATTGGGGCATTGTGTGTGGACTCCCTCACACATGAACAGATTCCTTTGTGGAGGGCTCCACCTCCATTTAGGATGCAGGCATAAGCAGCCAGCATAGGAACATGGTACTCTGTGAAGTGGCTGCAAGGGATACTCTTATATGATATTATAAATGGTCCTGACAATGCCTGGGGAGTTACCATCATTCTTAAAGGGACTGGGTTTCATTTGGTCTTCCTGCTTTTTTATATGAGCATTGCTAAATTTTATTTTGCTTGACCAAAATTACAAAGGCCTGATGTGAAGAATTCTAATGGTCTTTGTATAACAGGTGAGGAAAATTGCCAACATTTTGCTTTTATGGAAGGGATTCCAGATATAGCTTCAGGTTTTTGACTACAAGGGCACCTTAAGCAAGGAAATGAGGGGCTGAGCAATCGTCTACGAAGGCAGCTCATATTGTGTTTATTTTCAAAGTGCAGTTTTTGGAACTGATGTTGTAATGTTGTTTTCTGATATATTGGTTTAATACTTTATTTAAAAATATATAAGTTTTGTGTATTTTGATTAAACTGACTCTTTTAATTCTGATTTGGGACATGCCACATCTGTCACCAGTGCAAAATCTCCACCACTGGACTGCCATTGTATTATTGTTTTTATTTATTAAATTTGTATACCGCCCTTCATCCGAAGATGAACCAGGGTGGTTCACGACAGAAAAATACAAAAGGAGAATACAAAACACAAAACAAAACAAAAACCAATAGCAAGAAAATGTAATAGCAAGAGGGAAAACATCCAACCTGTATTAGATAAATAGCATTAGTCTAAGCAGAGAGGATTTAGATTTTCAAAGTTGTGCATGTGTATTTTAAATAGTGGCTGGCTGGCCACTTAACCAATTCTATACTGGTGGGTTGGATCTTTGAGGTTCCTTCCAATTCCATGCTTCCTTGTAAAAAGGGAAGAGGGATTGTATCTGCAGAGGCCTGGGTAGTGAAATGAGTTCCCCATGGATCTAGAAATTGTGTTGAGTTTCTTTCTCAACCTCCCAGTGTCTTGTGACAACCTAAATTAGGATGGTGCCAAAAATGAAGGGAAAGGGTGCCTGTGACTGGTAAATCAGATTTCCCTCTAGGTCTAATTAGAGGTAACTGCTATCTATTTGAGAATGCAGGTGAGGGATTAGAATGCTGCAAGATCTTAAAGCTAGCAAGCGAGGAATATAGGTCAGGGCATTTTAAGAAATAGCTGTGGTTGATGGCATTGGGAGGTTTTGAATACCACTGACTACAAATATGCAACAAGGCTTTAGATATTTCAGAATTTTCAGCGGGTGTGTTCCCTGACAGCCTGTGCTTTGGCTCACTTATGTGAATCTAAATGAGGCAGCGAAGCTATAAATACGCCATTTTTCATCCTGAACATCAAATGGAAGCAAGTACCACTGAAATCGATGTGTTTAGTCTCAAGATCTAATTAAGGCTTCCTTGAAGCTCCTGGGTTCGTAACAAGCAAATAACTCTTGAAATAACTTGTAGTTTAGCTTCTCCTTTAAAAGGATGTATTTTTAATGTGAACAAGTGCTGAGATAAGTGGCATACATGTTCTTTCTCTGCCTCCCCCCACCCTGAGCTTGTAATAACTCTCCCAGCAAGCAGAAATATGCATCTTGTGTGTGATGACATAGACAGCATTTCTGTACTGGGCCAGCTAATATGGGAGCTCACTTTAGCTGGCTTCTTGATATGTTTTCCCCTCCCTCCCTTGTTGAGAAATTCACTCTTTTTGTACTGAGACGCTGTTCCATGGCTAACATGGGCTTACTTTTCAGTGGAATACAAAAAGAAAAAAAAGAAATGCAGGCCAGCCGTTGTCTTCAGAATAACCCACGAATATTTGGTCATGTCTACGAGACCTGTCAGTTGGCGTCTGCACCGTGAAACAGCTACCTGATCCCTGGGTCTGCGGAATTGTGGTTTCTGGAACAAAGCCTCATGCTGCTCCAGTTGACTGACAGTTTGGTGAATTTCTCTCCCTCTGGAAAACTCCAGTGTCACAGAACCAGGCTGCTCTCACCACCAAAGGATTATCTCCCCCTGAATTTGCTAATCTCTTCTTGACACAGGAGGGAAGGTTTGTTCAGAGCTCCATATACGGAGAATTCATGCTTTGCTACAGAACCTTGGTCCTCATTTTGAACATTTTTGCCAGTCCACGTGAGCCTCCAAATAATATGTGACTGTAGGGGCAGCATGAAGCAATCAATATAAATGCTCTGGGCTGACTAAAGCACAATTTTTAAGTATCAGTGTGCCTTGATTTACTTTTGCTAAAAAAGAAACAGTTGGAAAGTGAGTTCACTGCATTTCTGCCGTTCTAACCTTAGTCCATCTACGAAGGCACAGGAGATTTCTTTCTGGGTTTGCCATATTTATTTTCATTTGTTAGAGTAATTCTAGTTGTCTTCTAAAAAATTAGATTTCGGCAGAATTGCAACCGAGACCGACCAAAACCATTCTGCTATGGGTTTAGTCTTAGATCAGGAGTAGAGAACCTAAGACCCGGGGGCCGGATGCGGCCCAATCGCCTTCTCAATCCGGCCCACGGACGGTCCGGGAATCAGCGTGTTTTTACATGAGTAGAATGTGCCCTTTTATTTAAAATACATCTCTGGGTTATTTGTGGGGCATAGGAATTCGTTCACCCCCCCCAATATAGTCTGGCCCCCCACAAGGTCTGAGGGACAGTGGACTGGCCCCTGCTGAAAAAGTTTGCTGACCCCTGGTCTTAGATCTTGCCACTTGCCTTTACATTGCAGATGTAAAAGGCCCGTGACTCTGAAATGGCACTTTGTATCTCAGGCGTGGGGGACAAAATTCAACCTGAAGGGCACATTGCCTTTTGGACACTCTAGGGGCCATATGCTAGTCATGGGTGGGGTCAGAGGCAAACGTGGGTGGAGAAATGAATAACAATGTTAGCTTTAGTACACTGGGGTGTGGCCTAGGGAGAGTCTTGAGGACCAGACAGAGCTTTGGAGGTCCACGTTGGCTTCCTACCCCTGTTGTTTTTGTCTTATTTAAATCATTGACAATACAACTTGTGTGGGATGTATCACCACCGAAGCAGTCAAATACAACATTTCCTGTTTCCTAGAGTGGACAGACAAGGGAATGTTGCTCCAGACAGGGAGGACTTCCTGTCATACCTGCTCTAGAGCATCCTCTCCTGTATGTGACCAGGTAGATGGGCGTGACCCTAGCAGACCCTATAAAAGGGCTAGTCATGCAGCCATCTTTCTCTTTGCCTCTCTTTGCCTCTTTCCCTCTCTTCTGGCTCTTAGCAAGCACACATGGCTCATCCTTACTGAGGATGGAGGCCACAAGGTAAAAAGTCTGATGCCTAGCTCAGACTTCTTTTCTCTACAAATGTAACTGTAACCACAAGATAAAGCCTCCCATCAGGATACTACTGTGAACTGAATGTAAGTAAACTTTACCATTACTTTTAAAGAAGACTGTCATGTTATTATTATTTTTAAGAGGGAAATAAAGGGAAATTTACAGGAACTATCCAATCTAGATAAGCCAGACTGGATTGCTCAGCTTAAATGATTCTAACAAATCCATCAACTTGCTTCCAGCAATGTACATGGGAATGTGCTCTGCTACAAGCTCACTAGCGTGAGAGAGGAGAGGTAATATTTAATCAATGTATCCTCTCCTACTTTCCTCAACATTCCCACAACTTGCCCATATAGTTATTGACCTCTATTCCATCATGATCTCCAGAATCCAGTGAGAAAGATCTTCTGCATTGCTTCTACCCCTTTGGTGCTGAAGTAGTTACACGTCTTATTATCATTATTCCTGTTGTCTGGTCTTTGACCGTAATAAAGAGTGGACTGAATTGAGTTGGGGGAGAAAAGTGAGCATGATGTTGCAATGTCAGGTTTTTTTTGTGTGAAACTGCTGCCTGTTTCTTCTATAAGGAGAGCACCGATCACAAACGTGGGACCATCACAGTGTCAACATTTCCAGAAATAGAGAACCATAACTCCCTGATGGTGACTTGTACAGGAATTCCTCATTCAGTGCTATGCGAGCAAGCTATTTTGCCTAGGAGAACTCTGTACTTGCCAAATAAGTGAGAGGCCAGAACTAAGCTGGAATTTTTTTTATCACTATGCTATATCAGGTGAAATCTGGAGCAGTTGTTAATGGCCTTAAGTGTCTCAACATCTGGAAATGAGAGTGCCTGGGTTACAGTTAAAAAAGGAGTTCGGGCATATGCTTTACCAGATAGATGTTTCTATGTAATTTAAAATACCACATCTTTTTTGTTTTCATGCTTCCATTGAAAGAAGCATAATTATTCTGTCTTTCATAAATATCAGCCCAATCTGACGCCTTGCAGCCTAGGACAGGGGACTTGATTACAGAAGCCAGCAGGTATTCATTGCCCCATTATATATGGCTTGTTGGTTTTGCTAACTCAATTTTTGCGTGGTTAGACAGCTTTGGAACGCAGACAGCTTTGACACAGGCTAGGCTGCAAAATATATATTGTTTCAAGTCAGCAGCCGAGTGCCAACTCTGCAATTTGGCACAATACACCAGTGGGCGCGAAGAGCAGAAAAAAACTTCACCAACCTTGTGTTCAAATACTATTCTCTGAGGCGTTGCTGTTCAGCTTTCATGCATCGCCAAGATGATTTGCCTTTGCAAATCATTCCCCATTTCTCTCTGTGCCAGGCACTCTTCCTCTCAAGGTGCCAGGGTTATTATTATAAGACTGTTTTCAATAACGAGAAGAGCCATTAACCAGTGTCTCGCTCACTGCTAAGGGAGTGGTGTTCACAGTGGGGCTCGTTCAGTACTCCAGTTTCCATCGCTACACTCTGTATCTCTTCCCTGGATGTTATTTAATATTCAAGGAAGATGATGAGTAAGTTTTAACACTAAGGAGAAAATGAGAGATCCTGAAGTGGAACGGACTTCATGGTGGTAATTTGCAGGTTTTCTTCCAGGTCTAGTTCGCAGTGGCAGGCTAATTCAGAATGTGGGGAGTGGGAGTGCCTTGGTAGAATGGTCCACAGTTGTAGGTGGTGGGGGTCAAAGACTCATTACTATTTCTGCAGGAGGGTCTTTGTCTCCAGCATCCTAGAGTCGCCCAATCAGCATGAGAGGGAAGCATTTTAGCCAATGTGTACTCCAAATCTAAGCATTTAGGAACACTGAGAACATAAGGAGCTTCAGTTTCATGAGAACGGCGTGCAAGTTCTCTTACGTGCAATGGAACTTCGCGGAAAACACAACTTAAGTCACCCCAAGAATATTTTAGGACATGCCAAATCACTTTCCCAAATGCATGGAAAATAGGAGATCTAGCTGAAAGGCAACACCGAGATCTGCACTGACCTTATCATTACTGTATCATAAGATTGCTCAATAATCTTAGAAGGTTGCATGACCTTGGAGGGACTGTGGCTGTGACCATCATGAAAGGACCCTGCACTTCTGGAATTGACTTATGTGGGGGTGTCACATGATTCAGTGCTCCCTGCAGATACAATTAAGGAAGGT